TTTTTTTTTTTTTTTTTGGTGCTAGGTTTTGTTGTAGGGTACTCATAGTGTTCGACATTTGAACAACAATGGCTACCCATTGTGGACAAACCAACCAGAGCTTCAGTATTTTTAAAGTAAGATTAGGTGTGAAAAGTTGGTTATAAAATCGTTCAAACTGTTTAATAAATGTTGTGATTTAAACTTTGACCTATCAAACTGTGTTGTCGGGAGGTGGAGGATGGATGATCTAATTTTGGAGGTAAGAGCAAGAAATTGAGATAAAAAATGTGGGTTATGAATGAATTGGTAATGAATACTATATAAGTACTCTTATCGTAGTATGCTTGACCTTAACTCATGTTTACCGGTGTTAAATGTTTTTCCAATGTATCTGTGGGTTATTGTGTGCCAGTGTACAAAATAGTCCTATTAACCTTGATGCCTCCAAAAAGTTAAAACTAGTAGAAAATAGTCGAGCATATAAGACCCAAATTGAATCATTTAAAACCCGACTTAGAGCCGTCAGAAAATATATTCTCTAACTAGCTCTAAACCACCCTAATGATGAAAAATAGCAATTGTTGTAATTGAATAAGTCTAGGAACCTTCCTTTCATAACCGAGTCTAAATTCCCATTTTCTCAACCTAACATAGGTCAGCAAACTAACCTCTAATAAAAATTTTGCTTCAAAGCTTAGAAGATCTTACTCTTTCCCAGCGTTATCCAAAATGATTGGGCGGAAAGTGTTTGTAGGTGGCTTTTTAAGTCCGCCGTCAATCCCAGGGTTCAACCCTGGATAGGCTGTGGAAACTACCAAGCTGGAGTGCGGTAGGGCAGAGGGAATTTCAGGTGGAGCGGTGAAATGCGTAAAGATCGGAAAGAACACCAACAACGAAAGCACTATGCTGGGTTGACACTGAGAGACGAAAGTTGTTTGAAAAAAAAAATGTCAGCATTAATTATATTTAATACAGTAAAATAATGCAAATATTCAGTCAATTGGTAGGCATCACCTTAATCAATGTCACGTGGAATACAACAATTAAGCCATACATCACGTTTTAATCAAGAATCACGTGGACGAAATTAAAGAAAATATTGGGGTTTCCTGGGCAAAAAGCTACAAAAGCAGGGACTAAAATGAAATTCTCGCAACAAATTCATTGGGCGTCTTTTAGCTCCACCAAGCCGGCCAGATAAAGGCCTTTTAAAATGGCTGGTTGTCATTACCGGAAGAAATCGTGCTGATTTGGGTCTTTTCTCCATTTTCCCTTCTACGCTTAATCCGTAAGAAACTCATCTTCTTCCTCATTGCTTCTGTGTTTGAATCGTCTGGTTCTCTAATTTAATCGATTGCTTCAGTGTGGATTGAGCTTAACTTTTGTTTGCATTTCAGCTTAAATGGATTCGGATCCTAAGGTTTTTGTCTTCGACGAAGTGGCTAAACACAATCACCAGCGGGATTGTTGGCTTATAATCTCTGGAAAGGTCTGATATCATTATCTCTCTTCATTTTTAATCTCCATATCGATATTTTGTTTGCTCTGAACTCAATCGTAACTGCTACTGGAACTCTAGACTTATATAACAGTAGATACAGGGATGGGTGATTAAGAAACTGATGATTGTGTATTCTATTATGATTATTGTTCTTTGATATCTCGGCAAGTTACTGGGCGAGCATCTGTCTTACCGTTGACTCTATGACATTTGATTACCAAGAAAACTCAGTAGAGGTTTAACATCCTAGGGAGATGAGCAATATGAGTTTTGAACTTATTACTAGTAGATATTGTCTGTTTTAGCCCGTTATGTATTGCCATCAGCCTCATAGTTTTAGAACGTGTCTACTAGAGAGAGGTTTCCACACCCTTATAAGGATGCTTCGTTCTCCTCTCCAACTGAGGTGAGATCTCACAATCCACCTCCCTTGAGGGCCTAGTGTCCTCACTGGCATACCGCCTGGTGTGTAGCTCTAATACCATTTGTAATATCCCAAGCCCACCGTTAGCCGATATTGTTTGTTTTAGCCCGTTACGTATCATCGTCTGCCTCACAATTTTAGAATGCGTCTACTAGGGAGAGGTTTTCTCACCCTTACAAGAAACACCTTGTTTCCCTCTTCAACCGAGGTGGGATCTCACAATTCACCTCCCTTTAGGGTCAGTGTCCTCGCTGGGACACCACCCAGTGTCTGACTCTGATACTATTTGTACATCTCAAGCCTACCGCTAGCAGATGTTGTCCTTTTTGAGCTTTCTCTTTCAGACTTCCCTTCAAGGTTTTTAAAACGCGTTTGTTGGGGAGAGGTTTCCACACTCTTATAAAAAATGTTTCGTTGTTCTTCCCAACTGATCTGGGATCTCACAAGAAGGGTGAGAGACAGGACGTAATGATCTTTGTAGAGTACTTCAACTAGGGGTAAATTGTTTATGGTAGATAGGAAACTGAATGCACAGAAAAGTCTGCTGCAACTCTAGATTTCTATTAGTTAGGACTATGGAGACTGATATCCTTTATTTCTGGAGCAACTGATATAGATATTGTACTCAAACAGACAGGAACTTATTCCTCTAAGCTCCTATTGCGTGGAAGCAGAATTTAAGGCCTAGAAAGGCTTAGGCTTAGTAGAAGTAATACTTTGAGGAATATATATCTGAACTTTGATTAACAGATGCTTTGCTCACCCTCAGAATTCCTTATATCGGTTATTGGAATCCTTATTTTATGTTAAAAATCTTTGGAGCTCTCATTTATGATTCTAAGTTTTAAATTTTAAGCATGGAACGTGAGGATGTTTAGTGGGATACATTGTAAGCCAAGTTAGAGCTCTTCCTATGTAACTCTTGGGATTAGATCTAACAACCTTGTTAGAGAATGAGATTTCTAGATCTAAATTATCCAAAAACGATAATAAATCAATTTAAGATAAAAGAAATCAACTTAAGAGAAAGTTTTGGAACAGATTATCAAGAAACTTGTTTCTAAACTCGTGATTCAAATCACTCCATAAGATAACTTCCCTATTCCTTGTCATTGTGTTTCTCTGCTCTGCCACGAAGTAATTATTGTGCATTCCGATTTTAGGTATATGATGTGACCTCTTTTCTGGAAGAACATCCTGGAGGCGATGAAGTGTTATTATTAGCTGCTGGTATGTTTTAGCTCATATCTCGATTGGTTGTTAAAAATGATTACACCAAGTTATGAATGATTGGAAAAACACTGTTGAGTTTATGCAGAGAAAGATGCAACAGATGATTTTGAAAATGTGGGTCACAGTCTATCTGCAATAGAGCAAATGGAAAAGTATTACATTGGCAATGTTGACATGTCTACGATTCCAAAGCCGATCGATTATCGACTAGCTGCATCCCAATCGGTAAAAGCAACGACGTCATCGGCTGAATCTTCAGGATCCTTGCTAACACTACTGCAAATTCTGGTTCCCCTGCTGATTATGGGCGTTGCATTTTATCTGCAATTCTATGGAAAAAAGCAGTAATCATTAGCTTCCTACCAAAGATGCCACGAGATTTTCAATTACTCACTTTATGTTGAAGACATTGATATTACGTAGGTTTCTCTACCATTGCCCTCTTGCTAATTTCTGAGTAGATAATTTAAAAACAGTTCATTTGTGTCTTGTTCATTCATTATCCTGTTTTCCTTTGTCTTTTGTTCTACAATATTCAACTTTCTGTGCTTGATTTAACACCCATTGACTCACCAGATATATGAACTTGAATGAAGATCAATTAATGGGTTGTGTCCAAAATGAGTTCTTTCTTGCTTACCAGCGAGGTAATTATGGTAACAGCTCAAGTTCACCATTAACATATATTGTCTTTTTTGGGCTTTTCATTTCGGGCTTTCTCTCAGGGTTTTTAAAATGTGTCTACTAGAGAGAGATTTCTTTCAAATAGTTCACACCTAGTTCAGTCGAGAACTTCCACGTCTTTTTTTTTTTAGCTTTGGAGATTTTTTTTATGCTAGGATTGAAAAAACTTCACTTGATGCCACCATCAAACATACTCGAAAACTATTTTGCCTTCTTTTCCATCTAGCATTATCACGAAAGGAGCTCCCGCATCTACACTTTCGAAGCTCGTGCATAAGAGTTTGAAGTGATTCCATTTATTTGTTTCGAAGCACTCTATCTAGTTCATTCCTCTCTCATTTACCTAACAAGCTTTACTGACCATAACACAAAACAATCCAGCCCGGATTCCCCTAGATGGAAGGGAAAATATGTACAGGTGGAATCAAAGAAAAGCTCCCTGGCTCACGCTACATTAGACCCCTAGATTATGAAGAAGGCACCCATTGAAGCTCTTTGCTCGATCTCTCACGTTGCTATGTACCAAAATCATATGTCACGGTTTAATGTCACAAGACGAAGCCAAAACGAGGGCATTTCTAAGAAGGCTTCCTAAAGGACTTACTAGGCTGGCCATTACTACCTATGATCGTGTGTGCGGTGTGCTCGCTGATTGTAAAACCTTTTCCAAGAAAGAAAGTCCAAGAAAAGCGAAGGCAGAATGTCAATACCTGTGTAGCCAACGCTTGGTTTTCGTTGTTGAGAGCTTGAAAGCGGGAAGCCAGAGTGTTGTAATTAGCAAGTAAAACGCTGTAGTCTCGCTTGTTCTGAAACCATATTGAAACCTAGCGTGGATGCAACCCCAGCTGCGAGGCCAGCTGCAACTTCTTTGTGGGCTCAAGCCTTGGCTCTCACTCGAAAATTCATTCAAGTGACTTGATCTGTTCTTCGCGCAACCTTGTTCTGTCCATGCTCTTCTTTCTCATGGATGCCAGAGGAGAATATTGGTTGTCGTTGTCGTCGTCGTCTAGCATGCTGCTTAAGATCCCGAAACCAGGTGGGGTATGGGAGTGAATGATTTAATCCAAGACTTGTGGGGTCCTTGAGAGACCCGAATTTCATTCTTGGCGGGGGGATACCCATTATTTTCTTTATTGTTTCGGATAATTTTATTATCCTATGTATAGGATAAATTGTATATATGAAAATAAAAATACTCAATAAGTAGCTTATTCATTCACTTATCACTTAATATATACGTAAAACGTGTCTATAATAAGCATCACTATGTAATCACTTAAAATCTCAACCCGAGATCATTCAATCATTAGATTCCTATGACTCTTCCCAACGATTGATCCTCGAAGGTAAGCTTCATCGAGCACCTCAATCATTTAAGGTCTAGCTCTTTGTGAGCCTATCTCAGTAAAAAGAATCTTAAGATTGAAGAATTCCAACAACGGTTCCTTTGCTGTCGATTTAATCATGATAAGTTGAGGCGTTATATCGTCCATCATCCTACACTGAAATTTATATGACATTTCAACTCTTGTCTTGTCAGACAATATATAATTAGATAATTTTTTTTTGGCTATTTTCAATTATGATATTTTAATATTAATATTTTGATTTTGATTTAATGTTTAAATTGGCCTCAATATTATTAATTTTATGATTAAAAATATTTGGTTCTAGATTTTGTAATTAATTGAGAAATAAAGAAAGAATATTGGGAGATTAGGTTGGGGCACCAAAAGTTTTTGGGAATAATAAAAAATAATTAATAAATTAAGAACCAATCAGATGAGTTGGCTAAGGACAAGTATCCCTTACCTGTCACAAGTATCCCTAAATATATATATATATTAAAAATAATTAGAGATAGTCGTAGACTACCCTTATCGTCCCACGTCCCCAATCAGGGACCCAAAATGAATCCCCGATTTGGTCCCATATCTAGTCAAATTGAGAATCCCTCGCCTCGACTTGCTCCCAAATCGTGCCTTCTTCAAAAATTATATCATGATATCTCATGCATGACATATTATGATGTCTGACAGACATAAACATGATCCTACTTTAAACAATTTCATCTATTCTAACTCATAGGTACTTCAACACCAAGTCTATATACAATTTCAAGCTCAACTTGGTACCCTGAGTTTATTATGGTGGATCATTCCTAAGTCCAGCTTAACCGAAATTCAGGTTCTTATATGATATTTCATTCATTTAGAAAACCGAGCTTATAGAGTCAACCTAACTTAATTATCCTACCATTAGTTCTAAACCGTGTTAAATTTTATTAATTTTCGAGAAATAGTTTATTTAAGAAAAATGTTTTTTGTTTTGTTTTCACTAAAGTCCAATATTGATTAAATAAATAAAGATTATGGATTTATTTTACGAGCTATTTTAGTAGGCATGAACATGGCTAAGCTTGAGTGGTCAAACTTTAGTGCCTACAAGATTTTTAAAATATATATTTTATTATTATCTGATTTGGGTATCATTCAATTCAATTATTGTCAATTATTTCTCATATCTAATTATTCATCTTATAATAATAATAATTTGTAATTATAAAGTGAATGACGGAGCTCGGATTGAAAATTCTCATTTAAATGGAGAATAAAGAAGAGAGTATAATTGAATCGAGAAAGAAATTATGTTTTTCGTCTCCCGCTCACTATATATAAAAAATATATTGAAAAAATAAAAAGTTGAAGAATACGATTAATTTTAAACAAAATACAACGTTGAAAAGTACTTTTCAATGTATATAATTTAAGAAAACTTTAATGTCGGGATATTAATTAGGATGAGCGTTTTTATAATGTAATATTAAGTTAGTTAGGTCTATATTTATTAGCATTTTAGATTAATATTATTCGAATCTTGAACAAGTAGTTGACGTGAGATTGAGATCTTGCTGAATGAAGTAGGTAGGTAGTACGATTGGACGTTGACTACTGTTTCAACTTAACCTCAATGACCGTTATAGATTTAAGAAAGAAACTTGTTCTTAGATCGTTACCGTTCCCTTTACTCTTAAAAGCTAGTGTTTGCTCGATATGAACACGTTTTAAAATTAAGTTATGATGTGTATAACCTTGGTGACAAAATAAAAAAATATATATTAATTTCAAAAATATTTGTGAGGGATAATTTCTATTTATATTTTAACATTTTAATAAATTCAATAATATAATCTTTATTTATTTATTTATTTATATATATATATATTCTCAATAGAGACTCTCGCAGTTTAAATGAACGATTCTACATGTAATTAATTTAGTTTGATATTAACTTAACATCAAAGGGCATAGAACTGAGTGTCACATTAACGCTAATTTTTTCTTAACCTAGATGAAGAAATTCAAAGTCGGATAATATATATATTTAAATCGATAAAAATAGAAAAAATGATAATAAATAAAGAAAGGGTTAGGGTTGACCCTCTGACCAGAAAGACATTAAAAAAGAATGAGAAAGAGCTGGGCGTTTGTTCGGTCATCTCCTCGAACCCCTCAAACCGTTTACATAGAATCAATTCTTTTGAGTTTTTCTTAATCATTCGGTTTTTAGAATTATTCGTATTTGAATGTAGTCTCGATTCATTCAAGTACTTATATTTTACTCACGAATCATTTTATCATTCTGTTCGACCGAGAATCGAATTTGTGTTGAAGTGAATAGTGAGAATTAGATGGTGGGGTTAAAGTCCAACCTTGCCTTTCCACTCCCTCTTCTTATAACCCTTCCAAACACAACCCTTTCTCACAATTATCCATTTCTCTCTCTATCTCTCTCTTTCCCCTTGAAGAGAGAGAGAAATGGATAATTAGGGTTTTGAAGATAAAAAAAAAAATTGGAGCTTTAACTTTTAATTTTTTTTTTTTCTTTTGAGGGGAATGTTGTCTGGCTCGAATACACTTCTTTTGATCCATATTTTAATTCATTCTCGGTTTCTCGAACGTTAATTTTGTTTCGTTTTAGTGTTGTCGGACCAGGCTTCATTCCCCCCAATGGCTTCTCTCAGTGTTAGCTGTTCGAGTTTTTTTTTT